ATTTCCTTAACTTTGCTTCATATATGCTGTTTGTTATCATGAATAGCTTATGTTTCTAGCTATTTTTTTTAGATTGCCCTTGTTTTATATTAGCATCATAAAAGAGTTGGTAATTCTTAAGTGTCCTTCAATGCTTAATTTTTTTCTGACCATATTTTGTGCATACTTGCAGTTATAACACTAGTAGAGCAAGCTTGCTGCTTTATTTGCTTATTTTTCAAATATGTAAAATCATTTTCGTTTGGTACTACTATCAATATTAAATTTAGTGCTAGTTGACAATTTTTGCGTTGCGTCTGTATTTTAGATTCCTTTCTATTATATAGTGATTTGTACAGTGCCCTTCGCATAAATACTTTTTGCTCCCCTAATTCACAATTCCACCTAAACTTCCCTTACAGGAATTGTTTCAGTCTTGTTCTGTGGCGTGATCCAAGCACATTACACTTACAAAAACCTGTCTTCAGAGTCTAAAGCTTGGACTAAACAGGTTAGTCTCTCCTTCACCTCCTTCACCGTCTATAATACAAATGATATTAATCTGACATTAATAAAACTATTTTATGCTCGTATTATAATGTATGGGTGCGGAATTGCTTAAGCGGTTGTCCCAAGGCAAGCCAGTTTAATTTTTCATTTATTAACTTATCACTATACCTTCATACTATGACCTATGATGTGATCACGTTTACGTTGGATAATTATCCTATGCTCGCAATGAACTATTTTTCGTCATCGTATTTTTTTATGAATAAAAGCCGGGTTTCAAAGAATTCCTTAATAGATTTATACTGACGTACATTTCATTTGATTTGAGAAGGAAAGTAGAAGGGATTCGTATATTGGCCTCATCAGATATCGAAGAAGGGTTGCCTTGGAGTTTCGCCTGCTGAATTGTGCTAAGAAGGCTTCTGTTTACTGTCTTACGACCTCGATGACTCCGTGCTCAGCTTTCGTCCGTCACGTGACGTACATTGTCAGAGCCATAAGCCATCATTCACGAATAATCACAAAAAAAAACTAAACCAAGAAAGGTGACCAGCTGAGATCCTACTTATTTCTTATACCTTATTTTGCCATCTTAATGAGGCATTCCATGATTTAGCTGGCTGACTTACGCTTGTCCTACATGCATGTAAGCGAGTCAAAGGGATGCAGGAAGGGGAGCAGATGTGGCCAAGACTTTTGTCTATGTAAATAAACTAGTTTATGATTATATAATCCTAGGTATTGTTATAGCTCGTTCAATGCGTGTTTGTGTGTATGCAACATTCTTCAAGTTGGTTGGTAATTTTAGGTCCAAAACCCGACTTCAGCTTAGTCAAGTCTTCTCTTACACAGTTGCTCTTCCTGTTTTTTCTCCCTCTCCCTCTCCCTCTAATTCTCTTCAGAAGCCAAAGATAGTTCTTACTTTCCTACCTTCGTTCCTTTTATTCAGGATGTTCTTTGTTTTGTTAATTTCAATCCACTCTCTGATCATCTGCTTAGCTGTGAAGTCCCCATATCCAGCAAAACGTTGGGATGTAGACCACTTTATCTGGTCTCCTGTAATGACCACATGTTCAAACATTTAATTTCTTAATCTAAAATCCTTCGCAAGCAGTTATCTGTTCTGATAGCTTCTTATATATAGGTCGACAAGCCTCCCACACATAAACACTACATGAGAACAAAACCCTATAGCAACCTGATATGCAGAGGGTGTCTGAAGATTCTATAAAAGAAGGCATGATCGAGGAAAGCGTTATTATTTTTATATATATTGTCTTGACATTTCATTTTCTTATTAATTAGCCTATCTTTCTTGAAAGCTTGCAGGATGGTAGCATTAGAAATTTAGACAAAGAGTTTTATAATTCCTTGTTTTGTCTCAAATAATGGTTTCATTTCACTCTATTTCTTAGTGCCTGCATTTTTGGGTTTCCTATATACATCACTACACCGTTTATTGCCTTATTTAATAACTAGGACATCTAAAGAGGGTGACTTACTCTACTTTTCTTAACTCTACTCTATTCACTAACCCAAGGAAGTCTTCTTAACAATTTTTGCTATCGAAGATATGAAGACCGACATAGTGTGGCCTTTTATGTGGTCGCAGTCTCTTGCTGTATAGAAGTTGTTTGACCTTGTTTTTGCAACTTGGTCATATTGGTAGTAGGACTTAGAGGAACGCACCTAGTCCGTAGTCCATTGTATGCATGATCATTTTCAAAGTCGGATCGTGGGCGTGTTACCTTCCCAGACGTTTCGCCGGCATCGTAGTCGGCATCATCATTGAATCTTGCCATTCTTAGCACCATACTACAACTCATCAAAGAGACAAGTGAAGCCTATCCCTTAACCAAACATGTGCTAAACAGTTGTGGTATATCTCCTGTCCTGGGATATTCACCTTTCCTATATCCTCGTATCACGCCTTCACTATCACAATTAATTCCTTGCTTATTTATCTCTAGTGTGGTGTGCCCTTTTGAGCGGCTTTCATGAGAAACCTCCACACTCCACGCTGGCCTTCTCACCTCTTTTCACCCTTGTGTTGGGAATATTGATCAGGTTCTGCCATATTGTTACGTAGCCCTCCTTCCCTAGGTCTTATCAGTCTCCCTCTTGCCCCGAAAATTCCCTCTGCTATCTTCCTGATTAGCGATGATATCTTGCCTGTCTCCCATCTTAGCGAACAATTATATGGCGAAATTAGAGGAACACTTCCTGCAAGAGGCAATACTAACACCCAAATTGTGGGTTAGATACATGGATGACTATTTTGTCATCTGGCCTCATTGTAAGGACAATTTCTTATTTTCACTCAACCAGCGTGAAAGGAACATTAGGTTCACGATGGAAATGATAGAGAATAAGTCCTTACCTTTTCTGGATGTTCTCACCATT